GTCGTGGATGGATATCCCATATCCTTTGTTTTTTTCTATTATCTTGTATTGTATATTACCTTACTTTAAAGACAATTATGGAGTAGATACAACACCAAACTATTTCGTTCCATGATAGAATTGTTATCGACTTGAAAATTACAGAGTAGTCACATATATTTCTCTCTTAACATCATATGACTTAATCACTTAAAAACACATAAAGAAATAATTAGACAGCTCTATCACAAGCAAAAAGCCCATAACTGTAAAATATAAGGGCACACACCACAAGCACGGGGACTCATTCTACACCATCCACGCAGCACATCACAATGCATCACATTTAACTTATTAAGGTTTCTTTTTTTCTTCAAATTATTGCAAATTTCCTGATGAATTTCATCTCGCCTAAAAAGTAACAAAAATACCGAGGAAAATTTCTAATATATTTAGAAATATCAAAGAGCAAGTCATGATAAAGCTTTTTTTTGCACCCTGAATTGGAAATAATCAATCAATTTAAATCTGCATAATAGCATACTTTCGATGATCATAAGAACTTATATTTTTGAATTTTGTATAAGGTTTTTGCATTTAAGCTAGAAGATATTTTTTAAAGAGATGCAATTGTGAGTAAAAATTCTTTTTGGGAAAGGTTGTTTCTGATATCTATTTTGATCAAAAAATAAATGTAAAATGTCAATTTCAGGTCAAACTTGTCCATTTCAATGTGTTTATGAAGTCATAGGAACATCGATCACTAGGGACCTTTTTGCACAAAAATATCCCGATTTTTTTCAGTCTGTTCATTTATCAATACAATTAACATAATTTTACAAAGCTTGAAGGAATTTATTTTTTGACATTTTCATGGCCAGAAATAATGGAATGAATATTTGTAGAAGTTTTTTGTCGCCTTTCAAGTTTTATTCAGAGATACATCACATTTGAATCTTGAATTCACCGTTGTTCGTTTTTCTTAATAATCAAAACTATTTTTAAAAATAATATATACATATATATATATATATATATACAAGTCTAAAGCCCAAACGAAAAAAATATAAACAAGTCTAAATTGAAAACAACGTTCAAACCTATGATTGCGTTGGATAATAACTGCAATTTTTATACGTGTGCATGCAAAACAAATTTCTTGTTAGAGGGGTCTAAATACAGCACAAACAACATTTTCCAAAAGACCAAAAAAGTGAAAAAGTATATTTTAACAAAACGCATTTGACTAACAGGTCGAACAACAAATGTTCTTAAACCCTGCTGACTGCCATTGGCTATTGCCAAATAAACGGATTACCGATGTAATAAATGGATCTTAATTATAAATTTAATACTAAACAGAAAACAATAAACTTGCGGAAAAGATGGTATACCGCAAACAAAAGGTGCAAAGGTTTTTGTACACCATATCCGGATTTCGACAATTAATGTCTCTTCAGTGATGTTAAGAATCGAAACGGTATTTGGAAAGCCATACAATTTACCTCAATTTAGGATAGACTCTTGAATTTTGAGGAGTCAAAATAGGATGAACGGATCATATAAACCCGAAGGCAAATATAATACAAGCCCAAATGAAAAAATATAAACAAGTCTAAATTGAAAACAACGTTCAAACCTATGATTGCGTTTGATAAAAACTGCAATTTTTATACGTGTGCATGCAAAACACATTTCTTGTTAGAGGGGTCTTAATACAGCACAAACAACATTTTCCAAAAGACCAAAAAAGTGAAAAAGTATATTTTAACAAAAACGCATTTGACTAACAGGTCGAACAACAAATGTTCTTAAACCCTGCTGATTGCCATTGGCGATTGCCAAATAAACGGATCATCGATGTAATAAATGGATCTTAAGTATGAATTTAATACTAAACAGAAAACAATAAACTTGCGGAAAAGATGGTATACCGCGAACAAAAGGTGCAAAGGTTTTTGTACACCATATCCGGATTTCGACAATAAATATCTCTTCAGTGATGTTAAGATTCGAAACAGTATTTGAAAAGCCATACAATTTACCTCAATTTAGGATAGACTCTTGAATTTTGAGGAGCCAAAATAGGATGAACGGATCATATAAACCCGAAGGCAAATATAATACAAGCCCAAACGAAAAAATATAAACAAGTCTAAATTGAAAACAACGTTCAAACCTATGATTGCGTTGGATAAAAACCGCAATTTTTATACGTGTGCATGCAAAACAAATTTCTTGTTAGAGGGGTCTAAATACAGCACAAACAACATTTTCCAAAAGACCAAAAAAGTGAAAAAGTATATTTTAACAAAAACGCATTTGACTAACAGGTCGAACAACAAATGTTCTTAAACCCTGCTGATTGCCATTGGCGATTGCCAAATAAACGGATCATCGATGTAATAAATGGATCTTAATTATAAATTTAAAACTAAACAGAAAACAATAAACTTACGGAAAATATGGTATACCGCAAACAAAATGTGCAAAGGTTTTTGTACACCGTATCCGGATTTCGACAATTAATGTCTCTTCAGTGATGTTAGGAATCGAAACGGCATTTGGAAAGCCATACAATTTACCTCAATTTAGGATAGACTCTTGAATTTTGAGGAGTCAAAATAGAATGAACTGATCATATAAACCCGAAGGCAAATATAATACAAGCCCAAACGAAAAAATATTAACAAGTCTAAATTGAAAACAACGTTCAAATCTATGATTGCGTTGGATAAAAACCGCAATGTTTATACGTGTGCATGCAAAACACATTTCTTGTTAGATGGGATTAAATACAGCACAAACAACATTTTCCAAAAGACCAAAAAAGTGAAAAAGTATATTTTAACAAAACGCATTTGACTAACAGGTCGAACAACAAATGTTCTTAAACCCTGCTGACTGCCATTGGCGATTGCAAAATAAACGGATTACCGATTTAATAAATGGATTTTGATTATCAATTTAATACTAAACAGAAAATAATAAACTTGCGGAAAAGATGGTATACCGCAAACAAAAGGTGCAAAGGTTTTTGTACACCATATCCGGATTTCGACAATTAATGTCTCTTCAGTGATGTTAAGAATCGAAACAGTATTTGGAAAGCCATACAATTTACCTCAATTTCGGATAGACTCTTGAATTTTGAGGAGTCAAAATAGGATGAACGGATCATATAAACCCAAAGGCAAATATAATACAAGCCCAAACGAAAAAATATAAACAAGTCTAAATTGAAAACAACGTTCAAACCTATGATTGCGTCAGATAAAAACCGCAATTTTTATACGTGTGCATGCAAAACAAATTTCTTGTTAGAGGGGTCTAAATACAGCAGAAACAACCTTTTCCAAAAGACCAAAAAGTGTAAAAATTTATTTTAACAAAACGCATTTGACTAACAGGTCGAACAACAAATGTTCTTAAACCCTGCTGACTGCCATTGGCGATTGCCAAATAAACAGATCACCGATGTAATGAATGGATCTTAATTATAATTTTAATACTAAACAGAAAACAATAAACTTGCGGAAAAGATTGTATACCACAAACAAAAGGTGCAAAGGTTTTTGTACACCATATCCGGATTTCGACAATTAATGTCTCTTCAGTGATGTTAGGAATCGAAACGGCATTTGGAAAGCCATACAATTTACCTCAATTTAGGATAGACTCTTGAATTTTGAGGAGTCAAAATAGGATGAACGGATCATATAAACCCGAAGGCAAATATAATACAAGCCCAAACGAAAAAATATAAACAAGTGTAAATTGAAAACAACGTTCAAACATATGATTGCGTTGGATAAAAACCGCAATGTTTATACGTGTGCATGCAAAACAAATTTCATGTTAGAGGGGTCTAAATACAGCACAAACAACATTTTCCAAAAGACCAAAAAAAAATGAAAAAGTATATTTTAACAAAACGCATTTGACTAACAGGTCGAACAACAAATGTTCTTAAACCCTGCTGACTGCCATTGGCGATTGCCAAATAAACGGATCACCTATGTAATAAATGGATCTTAATTATAAATTTAATACTAAACAGAAAACAATAAACTTGCGGATAAGATGGCATACCGCAAACAAAAGGTCCAAAGGTTTTTGTACACCATATCCGGATATATATATATATATATATACAACACAAACAACATTTTCCAAAAGACCAAAAAAGTGAAAAAGTATATTTTAACAAAACGCATTTGACTAGCAGGTCGAACAACGGATGTTCTTAAACCCTGCTGGCTGCCATGGCGATTGCCAAATAAACGTATCACAGATGTAACACAATGGATCATAATTATATTAATTTAATACCAAACAGAAAACAATAAACTTGCGGAAAAGATGGTATACCGCAAACATGAGGTGCCAAAATTTGTACACCATATCCGGATTTCGACAATTATTGTCTCTTCAGTGATGTTAAGAATCGAAACGGTATTTGGAAGGCCATATAATTTACCTTAATTTGGGATTGACTCTTGAATTTTGAAGAGTCGAAATAGGATGAACGGATCATATAAACCCGAAGGCAAATATAATACAAGCCCAAACGAAAAAATATAAACAAGTCTAAATTGAAAACTAAGTTCAAACCTATGATTGCGTTGGATAAAAATCGCAATTTTTATACGTGTGCATGCAAACATGAGGTGCAAAAATTTGTACACCATATCCGGATTTCGACAATTAATGTCTCTTCAGTGATGTTAGGAATCGAAACGGTATTTGGATATATGTATATATATATACATATTTATCATGTACATACGCAAAAATGGAAATTTACAAATTACTCTCAACTTAACTGTGACGTACTCGATAAATTGACTTTATTTCTATGTAGCTTCATACACACGCAGATCACCGAACTAAGTGCTCGATAAACAGAAAGACATCCTTTGACTTTACCGATGTGATATTAATTAAAATTTCCTGCTTCACATTTTGACGGTTTAAAATAAGAAGACAAAACTAAAAATACTATGAAAATCTTTTTTCAGTGGTTCATTCCGTGGCTTTTGGCTACGATTCTTTTGTTATTTGGTTCTATAGAATGTGGAATAACATCACAGTGGGTTGAATGTAACTGTAGATGGGAAGAGTGGGAAGCATGGGGAACTTGTGACAGCAAATGTAACGGTAGACACAGACGGTCAAGAGAACTTTGGATGTATTCAAACGTGGACGGTTGTGACTTCGACTTCAATACCTGCGCTACCGACGACATGGCATGGGACTACTCGAGATGTAACACATTTTGTTACAATGGAGGAACATCGAATAGCTACTCTTGTAGCTGTGTGACAGGATTTTATGGAGATTGCTGTGGATTTCGTAAGGATTTAAAACAAAATTCTATGTCTAATTCCAATTTTCTAGTTGAACATGAGTAATCTGCTACCATATATTGTAAAAAGATCATCATGTTTGGTATAGCAGTATCAAACTATGCATACCGTGATCTGATAGCAGAGCTACTTGCAGTATTTAAGCTTCCGTCTGTTTTAATATTTAGTGTTATATTTAACATTGCCATAAAAGTGCGAGGTTTGGCTAGCCACACAACCAGTTTTAACCCACCATTTTTTTCTTAAAATGTCCTGTACCAAGTCAGGAAAATAGCCATTGTTATATTATAGTTCGTTTCTGTGTGTGTTACATTTTAATGTTGTGTTTCTGTTGTGTCGTAGTTCTCCTCTTATATTTGATGTGTTTCCCTCAGTTTTAGTTTGTAACCCGGATTTGTTTTTTTCTCAATCGATTGATGAATTTTGAACTGCGGTATACTACTGTTGCCTTTATTTAATATGCCTTATGTTAGTTAATGAGAGATTTCGTTTCGATTGATTTTTTTAAATTTCAATCATAGTTAACTACATGTATGAACTCGAAATTGCTTGATTATCTTTAAAAAAACACCATAATCAAATAAAATGAAATTCCTCTTTTTCAGACATGATTAAAAATTAATATATACAAGTAAACAAGATTAGAATTAATATCCGATTTACCGAAATAAGTTTGAAAAGAGTATTTTACCACCATTATCAGTCTTAGGTATTTAAGAAAACGATTTCGCCTGTACAGCCTTCTAAACAATTTAATACGAACACTTATAGTGTAATTTTCCGATTCAATTTATCAATATTTTGTTATTATAAGCTAAGTTGCAACAAAAATAAATTCAATCAATCGAACAGTCGATCGGTCAACAATCAACTCGACCAATAGATAAATCTTAATAAAAAAAACATCAAAAATATCAGGGTAACTGTTAAAAGGGTATAAGTTAAAAGTTTAAGGGATGAATTCAAAAATGTCAATATATTCTTTAAATGTTACAAGAGTACAACAAGTTCCTTTATCATATCAGTAAAAGAGAGGCGGAAGATTTTAGGGTTTTAAAAAGGTATTCAAACTCATAACTCGAGGACAAACTGATAACGACATAGCAAAATACGAAAAACGACCAAAAGAATATAAAAAGAACATACCCGTATCTTTCAAGTCAACGAAGAAGATATTCCACGACGGGCAACCAACTCCGTAGATGGTGTCTGTAAAATTTCGAAGAGCAGGATATGTCTAACCTTCCGGAGCACCTGATATCTCTCCCGGTTTTTGTGGGATTCGTGTTGTTTTAATTTCTAAGTTGTGTTTTGTATACTGTTTTTCGATTGATTAGTTTTGCTTTTTTTGCTATGACATTGTCTGTTTGTTTTCACCTTATGCGTTTGAATATACATTTAGTATCTTTCGCCTCTCTCTTGTGCAGTGTTTTGTTTTTATAACAATTAATGAATGACAAGATAAAACAAAGACAATACTGCTTGATGTATATTGCAGAGGTAAACTGTGGAAATCCTGGATCTATATCAAATGGCAAATTAAATGGAGGTACCTTCACGTATGGTAGTACGGTAAGATACACCTGTCATAGTGAATACCTATTGGTGGGTGGAACATCTAGTAGAAGATGCAGACTAAGTGCACTATGGAGCGGAACCAAACCACGGTGTGCATGTGAGTAAAGTAACATCAACTAAACTATTAGATTATTCGAATTCCTATCCCATCTGGTAAAACTAAACATCATGGTACTTATGTTTTGCATTCCTCGTGAATATAGGGATAATTTGTATATCATTCAATGTGACAGAAAGCCAACGTTGCAAAAAGACATCTTGAAGTTTACGCACGGTTTTCATCAATAAATAGTTGTAAATACTATCTTTCAAGATCTAGATTACGCCTCGAATCTATCAAATGGGAGAAGATACCCAGGGGTAGTATGTTCAGTGTAAAATTTAATTGGTTATTTACCAAATGTATTTTGTTGCCAATTAATTGTATTCTTATAATTATACCCCCGCTTTAAAAAAGTGGGGGTATACTGTTTTACCTCTGTCTGTCCGTCTATCATCCATCCGTTCGTCCATCCATCCATCCGTCAGTCCGTCAGTCCGTCCATCCGTCCCAGGAAAATTTTTCGTCACATCTTTCTCAGGAACTACAATACAAGGATTTCTGAATTTTTATTTCAGGGTTTATATAAGTCAGCTATACCGTGTGAAGCGTTTTCAGATTGATTACTCAACAACTTCCTGTTTACCGAACACTTACATCATTTTACACAACACATCCAAGTTGAAAATTTTTGTCACATTTTTCTCAGGAACTACATTACAAGGATTTCTGAAATCTGGTTTCAGTGTTTATATAAGTCAGCTATACCGTGTGATGCGTTTTCAGATTCACCACTCAACAACTTCCTGTTTACCGTCAAGTATTTGGGCTGGGGGTATCATCATTGAGCAGTAGCTCGCAGTTTCACTTGTTAGCACTACATTTCAATGTAAATGGCAAATTAAAAAAAAGCAAACGTATTGCAATGAAATTTGAAAAAAAGTAAACGACAAAACACAATATTTGAAGTAAGAAATCCAGACAGTCACAGATATCATTCGTGAATAGGAAAACGTAATTGAATGAAATATCAAAAGTGCATTTATAAACTGAACGATGTCAGCTTACTTTGTCTAATTTGTTTTGGAAAAGTAGATATTATATCAATTGGCATTTGATTTGTTGTTGTGATATTTTTTATTTCAGATTATAATTCCTGTGCTAGTGGTCCATGTAAGAATGGAGCAACTTGTACAAACATACCTGATCATTATCAATGTACATGTAATCATGGTTGGTCTGGTAAAAACTGTGATGTTGGTAAGAACATATCAAAACTGGATACAATTTGATTTCTCTGGTTAGAAATAACTCATAGATGTAATGCATTTAAAAGGGATAACAGCATTTACCAAGAGTATTCGACAGTATAACAGAACACTTCAATCACCAGGGAGGTAAAACATGCACAAACAAAGACAAACAACAACAAACAACACATGGGCCGGATAGCCTTGGTACAAATATAAAATGATAAACCAGTTTTACATGCGCACATACACTCTTCCCATTCTCACCTCCCGTTTCAGGCGATATGTTGTAAAAATAAAGACCATTAAAAATGCTACACGGTCCTGGCCAGCTAAATATGATTTTCATTAATTTTAACTACTTTCAGAACAATTACCTTTGATTTTATAAGATCATTTCTTCTTTCCGTCGAAATACCTTCGATTTTGTCTGGGTTTATCTCCCGCCACTTTTGTTTCGCAATATGTCGATTAGGTATTGGAATATGACAGTTATTACGCTTTTGAAACTCATACTTTTCCGTATGGGAATTATCTCCCCGTATACTGTTTTTTTTTTCTTTTTGTGTTCGACATAAATGGTATGTCGGTGTAATTCATACATTTTTGTAAACCGTAAGTAATACAAATCTGGGGTCTTATCAGTTGTCATTCTTGGTCCATAGGCAGAAAGTTGTGATTAATATCTATGGTCATGATCTCGTTCTAAATTCAAAACTCCTCAGAAACCGTAAAAATATTACTTTAAGCAACATCAATACATAGGGTCGAAGTGCTCTGGTTACTTTTAAAGATGTTTTCCTTTTCATATATACAAAATAAGTTATTTGATAGGGTTGCATCTTAACCATACAAAACAAGAGACTTGAGACTTAGTTATAAATTATACTGTTACACGATTTAGTCATCCAGTTTTCTGGTTAGAAGACGTAGAACCTTAAAAAGGTCAACCAGAAATAACCTTGTGTAAACTCGAACCAATTATAAATTTATTTCATGTACAAGTACTTTAAAAATATTGGTTTATAGATTCAGTTTAAAGTCACCTATTATGTGAAATTTAAAGTAACTTGTTTAACTGTAGCTGATTATTTCCCTTATTTCAAGAAAAAAAAGTACAAACTATATATTTTTTTTAATCTGTGCAGGACAAGTTATCCTATGACGCCATTTTTAAAGAAGGTTACAGCTTTATAAATCAATTTTTGGTTTTTAATTCTGATATTATTTGTTTGAACAGTTTGAGTAATTGTTATTTGCATGATTCGACAAATCTTTTCCAGATATACAACCACCAGTAATGACAAATTGTTCTAGCGACAAATACATAAAAACATCAGCACTTACAAGTCTAGTTAAATGGCAGATACCTTCTTTCACTGATCCACATAATTTTGCGATCAAGGTTACAGCCAACTACCCTTCAAATGAGTTCACATTTCCATGGGGAGATTTTAAGGTTAGCTATACAGCTATAAAACCAACGAACGGTTTAAGTGCAAACTGCTTGTTCAGCATCAGTTTAAAGCGTAAGTTTGTTTTATAATCTTTGGCCCATTTTTTATGACTTCTTATTCAAATTATAAATCACCAATGAATGTGTTTACAAATGGAGAAGTGGCGAGTTTGGAATTAGCAGACAAGTAATTATTCATGCAATTAAGGTGACACTAAATAGTTGGTTTTCGATCGTACCCAAACCTACTTCGAAATCATATATTTTCAAATATTATCTGTTGAACCATGTTTTTTTAATATACACGTGAAGCTATATCACCTTATTTTCTTTATCTATCTATGATTTTTGTATTTATTATAAATTATATGCAAAAATTTTGAGAGATTTCCTTAAAGTTCTAAGTATTTTGCAATTTCTTTAATCTTTAAGCCGGTCTTATCATTGATCCGGGAACTTTCAATATAAAATAGTATGCCTTTAAGTGTACATAACCTTTTAAAGGAAACGTCTTTTATGGTTAAGAAATAAAGGAAGATAATTTTACAAAAACATTTTACTATTTTTGCAGTTGAATTTACCGATTGGCTTAAACTCAAAAGTGTTTATATTTGTTGCATTTTGAATCGATTTTCTTGATAATTTTTCTGAACGTCCCTGGCAAAACTTCATGAATATGTCAGGCAACTTTGTATATCTTTCACGTAGAAAGGATGAAGGAACAAATCAAAGTTGGTATATGGGAAATCATCTACACAGCACCCTTTTAAGGCATTTTAGACGAAACTACCATACCCTGCTGTTGTCATCGTTCCCTATATATATATGGAAATTATATGATAACTAGAACGTTTTCTTGTAACTTATATTATGATATTATTACGTGAGTATTTCTGTATTGGCCTTGTTATTGGTCCGAGGCTTGCTGTATTGGCCTGAGGCGAAGCCGAAGGCCAATACAGCTGGCCGAGGACCAATAACAAGGCCAATACAGAAATACACGTAATAGTATCTTTATTAATTAACTACAGTGTTACAATATTTTTTTTATTTCATTTCACAAGAGAGAAACATTTTTACCTTGAAGTGGAACTATCCAAATCTCAGTTTCTTTTTATAAGATGCAATATCTAATGATCTGGTGCCGTTTCCAGGTCACGGTGACTGTCTTCAGCATTTTCTCATCTGATGAATTTTTCTACCCTTTCCAGTCACTATAAAGTGTTACAATTTAAATTTAGACACAACACATAAATAGTAATTGGAAAGGTACTGCCATTGCATGTGTTATGCAGAAACAAATTGAATATATTTTAAAAAAAATAATGTAGGAGTTGAAAATGATACTATCCATAAGCCAACTGACCAAAGAACGAAGATTTGCACAATTACAGGTAACCCTTCCAGAATGCATATGACTGGTTCGGGTTTAAAAATAAATGACAGTTTACAAAACATGAGAAGCGAAAGTAAACAGTAAATCGATTTGTACCATCGTGAAATTATGAGGTCGACAAGAAATGAACTTTGTGATAATCTACTCGTTCCCCAAACCTGAAATAATTCATCGTCTGCTTTCAAAATGCTTTTGAATGAATGTGACCGTCTTTAGCCTGAAATATATGCCATACTGAACGTTTCAGCATGTTAATGGTGAGTAAATGAAAACTGCGTCTTCCAAACAACTGTTTACTTTCAGTTTGTGTTTATCGTGACTTTCGATCTAAAAACTAGAGACGTTCCGAAATCCTGTATTGGCCGGATCAGAACTCGGCCAATACAGAAAAAAATCCATATTGGCCGAGTTATTCTGTATTGGCCGAGTTGACACCTTTATATTGCATAGGCAGTTTTCATCATATTAAGTCCAATAACAGTGTAGTTAATTAATAAATAATTATAAACGTCCTTCCGGAGAACCAGTCAAGCTGTAAATAGTTTCATTTGACAGTATTTGTAAGGGCTTAGTTTAGATTAATCACTGTTTGTAATAATATTAAGGTTGCAATCAAGACTGGCAACAAGGTCATTGAGGATATTTGGGTTAGATGAAATTCGTTGTATTTTTATTAGAATTCCCAGAAAGTTTGTCTGTGGTAAACCTATGAAGTGTTATTTCAGAAACAAATGTATATCAACATTTAAGTCAATTTTATAGTATATCTTATCGTACGGTAGTTTTAATTGTACAGTATTAAAAACGTTACCTTAATACATATAAGTTTACATGTACATTGAATATGCAGATGAATAACGGGAGATTTTGGGTATACTTCAAAGAGACAACAAACAAACTGCTGCTTGGTAATACACCTCAAAAATTTTCAATCACTTGGATACAAATGATGATTCAAAATTAAGATACAATTATCTTTTCACGATTAAAGAATATTTTATATTCATTTATATATTTAAGCGAAGCCATGTCCTACAATTAATGTTCCGGTGAACGGGGCTTTAATTTGCAATGACTGGAGAACTGATTATGGTCAGTTTTGCAGATTTTTCTGTAAAGAGTCTTACACAGTTCCACGTGGTGTTATGATGGATGACTTTTATGTTTGTGGAGCTTCTGGAACGTGGATGCCTTCAAATACAATTCCCAATTGTTCAGGTGAAAATATTAGAATGAGACAATTTATTGACAATCTTGAGATCATCAAAATCTATGTTTGTTAAAACATTGCTTAATTAGTTGGTGGCGGTCAGCTGCAAATATTTCATATATGTTCATGCTGAATTCTATAGAAAATAAGAATGGGTGTGCTTTTTTTCACAATCATATATTGAAGTACATGTTAATTGCATTGATAAAATGTAAGGTTGAGAAATATTTTTTTAATAATAAAACATATTCTGAACTGTTCTAAACTAATGCTTTTCAATAGATCGTATTAAAGATAACTCTACTTATTTCACATGTTTCAAGAGGATATAAACATGTAATATCTTTTAAATGTTTTATTTCAGTAACGGCTACAAATTTACATGCAATTGGAGGATATAATATTGGTCCAACATATTCAAATTGTTCTGATGATCGTAGAGAAATGCAGGAGTTTTACATAGAAAAACTCAGCAAATCACATTTCAGACACTTTTGTAAAAAGTTTCAACAAGAATGTATCCCAGAAAATGTGTCAGTGCAGTGCTAAACGACGGTGTGGAATGTACATCCTCTCATGGTTTATATTAAACAAAATTTCATGTCTTATAAAATAAACGTATTAATTCTATATTTGCCAGTTATTTACAAAATATCAACACCATTTTCATTGCGGATAAATTTACAGGCAATATAAAGTTACATTCAAAATACTGGAAATAGTAAACTTGATATATGAACCCTGGAAACTATATATTACAGTAAATCATACTTAACTTTTACATATTTCTTTTATCTGAGAAAAAAAACACCAACAGTAATTTAAAGAAAAAACAAAGCCAAACAAGTTAAGGAAATATATTTGCCCCCAAAACGCATACTACTGAACTAACACAACAACAAAATCCCAAGTTATTTTACAATGTTTGTGCATAATCGTTTACTGGTATGTAAAATATGTAAAATCTCATAGATTAGTTGTGTATGGCTCTGTCGAAGTTTTTTTTAATTTATTTTTTTATATCATATGAAAATAAGAAGATGTGGCATGATTTCCACTGAGACAACTATCCACCAGAGTTGAGATAAAGTGGATGTAAGCAGTTATAGGCAACCGTATGGCCTTCAACAATGAGAACAACCCATTCCGTATATACAGCTATAATAGGCTCCGGCAGGTGCCTGTCCCAAGCCAGGAACCTTTAGTTTAATGGTTGTCGTTGGTTTATGTCTGTTGTATTTGCTTATCGTAAATTGTGGTGTTATAAGTTAGGCCGTTAGTTTTTTCGTTTGAAATGTTTTCCAGTTTAGACGAGCGTTTTGTCTTCAAAAGACTCAACATTGACGCTCATATAAAAAGTTGAAAGGTCAATTAAAGTACGATGTTATAGAGCATTGACATGACTGAGGACCATAAATTCTGAGTTTTGCCAAATACAGCTAAGCTAATACATTGCTAATCTAAAAAATAACTTGTTTTTTTAACAATTCATAAATAGTTAATTTATACATATGACCATATCAATGATAATATATGTCAACACACAAGCTCTAACTACTATGCTATTGGAACCCTAGGGGGTAGAGGAATATCCACCAGCAGTGGCATCGACCCTCCATTTGATATAAGTATGAATGGATAGTTATACTGGAACTCTTTCTCTAAACATCCCTTTGCCGTTCTTTGTGTGCATGTAGAATGCATTTCAATGTAATTTCAACATGGCTCGGTTAATGACTTGAAGTCCCTTAATACATGTAATCAGCATCCAAGACTTTAAGAATTATCATATGTTGCTTAATATGTGTTTAAAAGATCCGGAATATAACATACGTATTAATTTGTTCTATCATCTAATTTACCTCTGTTTTTTTTGACAGTTATACAAAATACTGACTTCCGAAGGTAAGAGGACGACATGAGCCGTCATTTGGCTCATGAAATTGGATAAAATAGTAAAGTTGTTCAGTGAAACGTGTTGCTTTGAGAGATGATGGATATATAAATACTATAGTCTGGTCATTTAAGTGCATAAATGACATTTGTGATGTCACTGTGGCGAAATATTTGACTAATAATGACGATTTTGCCACATAGCTTTTGGTTAAGTTGAATGTGAGCAACAGTCGCATGTCAAAAGTGCATGTAATCAACAAAATTGTTACACCAAACAAACTATTGAGATCTTTCTCTATGTGACTTTCTATTCAACAGACTTGAATTGCCGACGAGAAAACAAACTGTGATACATCAATAAATTCAATGAATATACACGCAAATATTAACTTTTAATAACACAATACACAATCGTAGCCGTGGACTTCCTACCATTTTTACACATTGGTTATCAGAATACTTAGACTATTCACATATCACTTTCGTATATTCACATTAGGGCTTAATTTAAGTAATATTCGCTTACTACGTTCAATAATTAAGTATCCTAATAAAAATTGTCTGACGTCCTTGATTTATTTGTTGAGTGACTCTTGAACGACTTTCTTTAGTTTTTTTTGTTTGTTAGTATTTATAGTATAGTTGCTTATTGATTAGGAGAATTGAAAATGAAGCTATTTTGATAGTTCGGAATTAGTTTTCTTTTAAATACAATTACTTTGAAGTTTTATAGAAATCTTGAATTTTTACTGATTGTTGGCAGACTTTTGTCGAATACATATTTTGTGGATATTATTTGAGGGATTTAGAATACATCGTTATATTCATATTTTACGGGTCAAAATCGTTGTCTTATTATACTTTCTCTTTAGTCGGAACTTTTCGGACTTTGCAACTATGCAATGAGTAGCTGATTTTTTACAGGTTTGCTAATTGATCGTTTTCATGCAGTCAAAAAGGCGCAATTGGAGATCGAATATATAAGAAGATAAAACAAAAGCATGCGTAAATTACTTTAACCTTAAAAGAAATGAACGACAGAGGTCAGAAATAGTCAGCGTGTACAATGTAACAATAAATCAATAAATAAATACATTATTGTGCATAGTTTAGCACAAATTTATATATTAATATAGAAAGGTTGCCTATCAAATATTGATTCATAATTAAGCGTTATTAGAAAATAATAACAACACAATAAATTACATGCATCCGAAGAGCTTTTCTGTATTCATCTTCATCGAGAACGCTCAAAGTCGAATATTTGAAAGCCAATGATGTATAAGAAACGAAACAGTTGAAGAGCTATATGACCAAAAAGGACCTAAACAAAATAGTTAAATCAATATAAGGTCAACTTAGCCTGAGGGAGCTTCAAGATTAGTTTCTCTAATATTTCTAAATTTCTAAAGGGATAATTCTAAGAAATGTTTGTTATAAATCGTGCCAGTACCAAAGTATTGACTACTGAGCTGATGATACCCTCGGTGACTGATAAAATTGAGAATGGAAATGGGGAATGTGTGAAAGAGACAACAACCCGACCATAGAGCAGACAACAGCCGAAACCACCAATGGGTCTTCAATGCAGCGAGAATCTCCCACACCCGGAGGCGTCCTTCAGCTGGCCTCTAAACAAATATGTATACTAGTTCAGTGATAATGGACGTCATACTAAACTCCAAATTATACACAGGAAACTAAAATTAAAAATGATACAAGACTAACAAAGGCCAGAAGCTCCTGACTTGGGACAGGCGCAAAAATGCGGCGGGGTTAGGCATGTTTTTTGAGATCTCAACCCTCCCTCTATACCTCTAGCCAATTTAGAAAAAACAAACGCACAACAGTACGCACAGTAAATTTCAGTATAAGAGAAGTCCGAGTCCGATAGTCTACCAGCTGCGGTATTGACTGTTAAATCAAAATATTGGAAATGTAATTTCAGAATTAATTTTCTGGCAAATGGCAATTCTAGGATAAAGGTAGGTTATTTATACCGTAAATTGGGAAATTTTGGCGTCAGGATATTTTGGCGGTTTTCTCTCGAAAGGCATGTGTTTTATTTTGGTGTGTGTAATTTTGGTGGTTCGTCCAATTGATATGTTTAATTCCAGAACAACAGTAGTGAGTAAGCTCATTCATATTTGCCTTTATTGACCCGTTTATTGACAAGATATCATTGAATTTCTCAAACTAGAAACACGACAAAGTTTATCTAAGGAAGGAATCGGATATGGATGCAATTGCAAATAATTCCGTATATCGTGGTTCAAAGCTGAAAGAAAATATGAAATAAAATCTTAAACATTAAAATCACTTTTTAAATAGATTATTTATTTTTAAAAAATATCATATGAATTACACCCCAGTTCTATTGTTATACTTCATAGTTTCTATTTCTGAAACAAGTGTAAATTGAATAGATCTATTGTTACGAATAACAATGGATTTTGACCACATGGTGTGACGAGCGGGGTTTCTGGAAACTCCTGCTTCTACATCCCGCAAACAAAGGCCATTGTTATTCGTAACAATAGAAATTGATTATTTTTTAAATAGCATGAACATAAGAAATTACCTTATAGTGTTCACTAAAAATTGTTTCATGATATTAAAAAAACACATTTTAGGAAATTCCAATAAGCATATATATGAAATACAGAAATAATCCTTTAAATACTCCTTTGCTTGAAGGTATTTTTTTTTATCCAAGCCATATGTCTCTTATTTCCCGACCCCCCCCCCCCCCAACCCCCTCCCCACCCCACCCAAGGTTACCCAGTGACCGATCTGGGGTTGGGGGTTCCGCGGATTGGACCCGACTTTTATTTAAAAGATTAATGCATTTGAATGGTTGGAACCCCCCCTTTTTCTCTTGAGTTGGGAACCCCCGGCTGGATCAACCCCTGATTGCCTCAAAAAGGGAGTTCCTCTACATTAAATATTGTATGTTTAGCTTGTCTGGTAGTCGTGTTTCTAATGCAGACACACCTATTCCTTAGTATGTTCGAATATGAATTTTTGTTTATTCTCGAGAAGAGGGGGGGGGGGGGGGGGGGCTTTTGTTTTTGATAAAATCGTAAGATATAAAATACAGTTATGATTACCTTTATTAAACTGATACAGGTAAGTACTTTAGGTTATAATATTGCCTTTATCTTTAGTCTCTTCTACCAAATCCAACGCTTGCCACAAAATGTCGTCCGTCTTATACCCGTCCATATTGACAACTGTATACCAGGAGCATGATGTATTTTTTGTTTGTTTTTTTTTTATTTAATAATCAATGTTAACAAATATAGGGTTTAGAATGGGGTGTAAGTTAGTTATACACCTCGGGATACGGCGTGTCTGGATAAGAAACCCCTCCGGCCTCCGGCCGTCGGGGTTTCTTATCCAGACACACCTTTCCCTCGGTGTATAACTATTACATAAACTCTAATCATCCCTATTGCAGTACATGCTAATCTATTGACGAAAAGATTTAAATTTTAATCCTTATGCCTCTGGCAGTACATGTTAATTAATTGAAGATAAAGGATTACAAGGAGTTTTGATATTCTAATTACCAATAACGGCGTCTAATCAACAATAGCCTGGCATATTTATGACATGTATGAATACAAATTCATATTGTGTTTTCTTAACAATTTCAGAAAATAAACAATAAAGTAAAAATTATATAGTGTTGTTGTCAAAGTATACCAGGTATTTATTTCCAGATTTGGCTA